GAAGTCACACCTCTATTACTTCTCCTTCCAAATCGTTTCCCTCAAATCACTTCATCCATTCACCTCCTCCGATCAACTTCTCCCTACCAAATTATTCCTTCTCTTTCCTTCATGTATCCACCCCCTCTAATATAAGTCAACTACCCCACTTTCCGACCACCCCCTGTTTCCGACCACCTAAAAAATTCATATTATCTACACTTAAAACTTTAATAACTCAATAACTATTGAACTTCAATGAAATCGCCTGTAGAATCACTTTCTATAGCACTAGAGCTATCATCTACCTCATCTTCACGATCTCCAGCTTCAATTTGTGTACGCCTTATAGCTCTAATCCCTGCGAACTTCGAATTTGGAGATACCACAACCTTTCGCCTTTTTCTAGGTAATGCTTCATCTAATTGATATTCTAGCTTTCTAATCTTATTCTCTGCCTCTAAGAGTTCATAATCCTTAGCATCGAATCCTTTTATAATCTTGCGAAATAGTAATCTTCGTGTTGGCAAATCGATCTCCTTCTCTTGAATCATTATATCTCTATATTTTCTGATATCGGCTCCTTTTTGAGGGGTTTTCCATTGAATAAACGATGAATATATATTCCATTGAAGAATAGGATCATCATCAGATTCAGGATTAAGTGATAAAACCTCTCTATTGCTATTTTCAAGCAAAAGTCGACTCATAAGAGGTTTAGCCATATTTTTGGGCCAAAGACCACTAGCTTGCCACCCAGACTTGATATTTTGAATAGTTAAACCTTCTATTCTAGCCTTCTGATAGCAAGAAAGGAAATTGCGCTTTCCAATTGGTGAGGAATCGGATAATAGACTTAATTTATTAAGTTCGATTCGATATGCACTTTTTAGGGGTGAGAACACAGATAAATCGAGTGGTTGTAGTACGTGTGACGTATGTGGTGGGAGAAGTAAGAGATATACGTTGTTATTAAAGCATTCTAACATAAATGCTGTAGTTTCATGGCTTCCGTGTCCGTCCAAAATGAGGAGTCTTGAATTTTCCGGCTGAATAGGGGTAGTTTGAGGGATATAGATCTTTTTCAGCCATTCTAAAGCTGTAGCATCTGTAGTCCATCCATTTTCTGTAGCGGTAAAGTTCCAACCCTTGAATAGAGTCAAATCTGTTGGAAACCATTGTTGTTGAACTGATTTTCCCTTATATATTACAAGGGGAGTAATGCTTTTTCCATTGGCTGAAATGCATTCTATAAAAGAGGTCCAAATTCGAGATCCAGGTTGCTTTTTTTGAATAAATCTTCGATCAGTGCTTCCTACTACTAGTCCATTAAGACCCTGACCCTCCATTATACCTGCTTCATCCATATTCCATCTGTTGGCCGGCTTAATAGCCTTGATTTCAGGGATTGCGAGGTTCCGGAACCACTTCTTAATAATATCAGATGTAGCACCTGAAACTCGTGCAGAATCGATTTGATGTTGCTTCTTAGTTCCAATATTAGGATGCCTTCGAAAAAAGCTATGTATCCATTTCTTTCCAAGTGAGGGATCCTCCCCTCGTACAATAAGGAGGTGCTCTGCCATCTCTCTGATTTGACGATGTGTAGGGCTAGTACCAAGAGCTTCCTGTACTAATATCCATTCTGCTAGTCGATTCTCCTGAATTGGAGATAACTTTTGAAGTATTTGGGCGCCTTTTTGATGCGAAACTCCACCATATATTCGATCGTGAAGTGTGGTACGTGGAACACCATAATCCAAGCTAGCTCTTCGTATGCTTGCTCCATTTGTAATCGCTCTAAGAGCCTCTGCGATATCTTCTTCGGTATATCTATTCTTCATATCACAATTATAATAATATCAAAATTTCAAATCAATTGATTAAAGCATTGTTGAGTTATTCAAAGTATAAATTTTATAATTACTCAAAGCGGTGTGGTTTTTGAGGTGGTCGAAAAGAGGGGGTGGTCGGAAAGTGGGGTAGTTGACTTATTATCCATCCAGAATCACCCTCGCCTTTTCTTTACTAACACTTCTCTTCCTTATTTTTCTTGACTATGCATCTTCCTACTTCTCGCTTCATTTATGCCTCTATCTATATCTATCTCATTCTTTCGTTTCATTTCTTCTAACTTCTCTTTAATTCTATTTTCAAATTGTTTCTGAATCATTTCTCCTTCCCAAATCATTTATTCTCCCCCTTCATTTCTCCTACCACTTCACTTACTCTTCCCTCTCTTAACTACTTCTCTCATCACTTCGTCTACCCCCTCCAATTCATTTTCTATCCACACTTCTCCTCATTTCTCCTCTTCAATTCAACGCTTCTTCTCCTCGCTTCAAACATCCGCCCCCTTCTCCTTTTTGAAAATTTCCTTTTATATCTTCCCTCTTTACTACCTACTACTCCTTTTTACTTCTTCTACTCACTTCCTTCGTCTTTCTCCCCATCATTTCTCCCAATCAACTTCCCCTCCTCACTTGCCCCCTCTTTCGCTGCTCCTCCGTATTCACTTCTACTTCTCCTTCTCGCTTCCGCTTCCCCTCTATCCATCGCCCGCTCTTAATCCATTGCCCATGCTTATTTCCCCTCTACAAACCACTCTTATTTTTTCCTTCCCCTTTTCCTTCCAAAACACTTTACCATACTCCTATGTTCTCATACTCCTTAATTCCTATTCCCTATTCCCATCTCCTATTCTTACCTCCCATTTCTTATTTCCCCTTCTCATATTCTTAACTGCCCCGTTCTCGTCTTCTGTATCGTAATATTTCCTCTTCCATCCTCCATATCCCACATTTTATACTTGGTATACACCAAAACCAAAATGAAGGAACGGAAAGAATAGAAAAGATGGAGTATGTATATACGTATGGAAATTAGATAAGATAAATCAAAACAAGATGATTCAAGATACACAAATGCCCCTTTTTTTACTCTCTTACCTCTTGAGAGCAGAATGTGAATAGATAGAAAGACACAGACATATGTGTGCATATATGCCCATCCACCTAATCACCGGTAGCCTATAGAATAGATACCTAATCAATACCAATTTAGCATCTATCTGTTCTGCTCTCCTTTCTCCTCTCTTTTCTCCGCTCCTTTCTCCTCTCCTTTCTCCTCTCTGCTCCTTCAATATCGAAAATCAGAAATCAGAAATCAAACATGAAACATCTCACAGTCATCATACCTAATATACCCACTTCACCTATTCCACCTACTCAGTCATCCCAGCAACAAATAATAATTTTGAATATCTACGTATCTCTAACCTATTCATTTCCATTTCCATTTATATTTCCCCTTCCACACTCTCATCCTGATCTATTTCATTATCATTCTATCTAATTCCCAGCCCATTACATCACCATACTGTTCCTCTATGATTGTTATATAATCCTATTCTTTACCCATTCCATTCTATCCTCATCTTCTTTTATCCCCATCCAATTCCATTCTATCCTTTCTCATAATATTCCCATTCTATTTTTTTATGGTCCCATCCCTTCCTATTCCATTCCATCTTATCTTATCTCCATACTATATTTCATTCCCACACTCATACCCTCATACTGATACCCTACACCCATTCTCATACCACACTCCTAGTCACACAAACCAGAACTGTAAAAATCAGAATGACTCTCTTTCCTTCTCATCAAGAAGAAGGAAAGGAAGAAAGGAAAAGAGATAGATGTATACATTACTACACGTATACACACATACACGTATACACACACAAATGTATATCTATATCTATATCTGTCTATTTACATACCTACCTCCCTACCTATCCATCTACCCGCCTAGCTAGATTATCAAATATTGTATACATATACATATACACATACATAACATCAAGACTTTCAACTTCTCCAAGCTCTTCAATATCCCTTATCCCAATTTTTCCATATTCTATATCCCTAGGCTAAGCCCCAATTAAACCAAAACAGACAAAATAGACAGAAGCCCCCCCCCACAAATCCATGAACCACAAGAAACCTCGAAATCTCGAATCCATAAAGTCCAAAGAATACCTATGATTCCATACCTCAATACCCTCACTTTTATCCAGCTTCCTGACTAACTATCCAGCTAACAGACTGACTAACTAACCCACCAACCAACCAACTCCCTACCTAGCTCAACACATCACAGAAATAAAGAGTATGAACGAACAAACAGACGAACAGCCAAAATGATGAACAAACGAACAAATAGATATAAAGATTTCAGATCTAGGTTGTCTACCTATCTACCTACTAGGTACGCTTTTGATATCCTCTTTACTCTACTCCTTCCTTTTCTCTCCTTTCCTTTTCTTCTCCACTCCACCATCTCTACCCTTCTCTCCTCTCCTTACATAACATTCAAATCGAAATCCAGACTGAGATGGAGATCGAGACGGAGAGTGAGATGGAAATGAAGATGGAGATTGAGACCGAGGTAAAAAAGAAGAAGAAAAAGAAAAACAAAAACTAGAGCAATCCATCATCCTCCTCATCCTCCCCATTCCACCACTTTCTTCATCTCATCTCTACCATAGCCCAGAGTATTCAAGATTCAACACCCCTCAATCCCCCATCATATTTCATGATAACCCCTCCAAAATTCTCACGAGTTTCTCTCTTCTCTTTCATTCAGTTTTTTTTCCGAAAGCCAAAGAAAAAAACAAACAAAAAATAACACATGCTTAACATATCTAGGTACTCAACATAGAATATAAACAAATGAATGGAAATTTAAAAAACAAATAAACAAATGAAAGAAAATATACTTATACACTACACGCGACCATACATGCAACATAATACGAAATGATATGATAAGAACTCAATATCTCATATGTAATGCAATTCCTCTCCTGTCTTCTTCTCTCAATTCCGTAACTTTGTGTATGGATGTATGGATGTTTATGTACAAGTTTTCTTCCCTGCATGCTCCTTCTTTCCCTTTTCATCATCCTGTAATCTTGTCCTCATGTCCTCTTGTCGTCTTCTCTTCTTCTTCTTTACTTATTTGAAAGTTCGGCATGGATATCTGGGGTATGTTAGCTGGTCATGTCACATAGTATCATGAGTGTTATCCTCCTATTTCCATATCCATTTCCTCTCCACCTCTCAACTCCCAACTCAAAACCCCTCTGACCAACCCCCCACCCCTCAAAAAGAGGAATAAAAAAATAACCACTCACTGCTCAGGATACGCATTCTCCTCTGTCAAATGATACTTATCCCCCTCCACTCTCAAACTCGGACTCACACTCGCGGGCGTCGGCGGCAACCCCCCCTTCCCCAACACCTCCAACACACTCCCCTCCATCTCCCCCCCAAGAAACCTCGCCAACCCACCCTTCCCCTCCTCCCCAACCCTAACCAACTCCTTCACTCCCTCCTCCCCCACCAACTCCTTGCGCGGCGCCGCCTCACTCCCCACACTCAACAAACCCACCACATCGCTCTGCCCCACAAAACTCAACTGCGGATACGAGCGGCGGGAATCGCGTTTCCAGTAGGGATTTTCGGCAATATCGCCTGCCGGGAGAGTAACCGGGTCGATGAAGGAAAAGGGTTCGTTGGATCCGGGGGGCGGATTGCGGAATTGAGGGTTGAGGGGGACGCCGTTGGAGCGGGTGGGATCGACGGCGAGGAAGCGACGGATAGTTTCCCAGATGCCGGTGGATTGGACGGTGTGTTTCTGGGAGGGATGTTAGAGGTGGAGTTGAACTTGAGCTTGGGGTTTGAGGTGCTGGGAGAGAGATGGGTCAAGAACAAAGAGAGAAATAAATAATTAAGTACATACCTTGTGAACGGGAATAACACGATTAGCAGCTTGAGCCACCTTTGCCACGGATTGTGAAGCCATATTTGGAATGCGATTGGGATTCCACGGCGTATTGGGTTTGTGATTGAATTGGTTATGAATTGAGTATTCTTGAGCCTTGTCTGAAGTTGAAGCTCAACATCCGCGATAGTGGTCCGAGCGTCAACGGGGTTTGGAAATTGCGAGAGTTGGATTGGATGAAAGGAGGGGAGAGTTCTACATAACAATTTCATGAATTGCTTCTTCCCTTGATAATTGAAATGTTGTCTGTCTATATACTAGGAACTTCCAACAAGTGTGCGTCTCTATGGCTTTATTGTATAGGAAAAGTTGTGAATTTTGACTTATTATCGTACATGTATGTCCACAGAAGCATCAATCGAGCTATGCACCTAGGATTCGTGATCATGAATACTATGTCATATGAGTTTGTAAATGATCGAATGAAAATTCTTTCACTGGTATCACTATCAGATCTGACGGAGAAATGTTTCCATAAAACACTTTCATAATCTCATCATGGAAATCAATATCAACTTTTAGAAATGGTATGGAGTTGAGAACCAAACCCATGCATAACATTATCATTCACAATATGCTAGCCACCATAGCGTCTATCCTAAATTCTCCCCAAACAATTACTGTATATCCCATTAAAGTTGAATTTCCTCCCCTCCATCTTCCATTTTAACTACTCTCCTCCCATGGTAGAGAGAAAGTGCCAACCCATTCCTCAACCTCACTTCTCAATTGTACAATCTCTCTCTCATTCTCACCCTCGCCAAGATACTCCAAGAAAGCTTTTACACTACCAGGATTCTTTCTTCCCTTTGCCTCTGCTGCTTCCCTTGCACTTTTATCTAATCGTTGAGTGATGGTAACAGCTCTATTTACAACATCGGCAACCCGTACGAAATCTTCAGGTTGGAAACCACGAGTTGTCATCGCTGGTGTACCCATTCTTAACCCACCAGGTTTAAGGGCAGATTTATCACCTGGAACTGTATTCTTATTGGATGCGACTCCAACAAGTTCAAGAACACGTTCAACTCGTGCACCATCAACTCCTTGAGGTTTTAAGTCAATGAGTACAAGATGGTTATCGGTACCCCCAGAGACGATAGAGTAACCGAGGCCCCCCTTATCTTTTGAGTCACCCAGACGCTTTGCGAATGCCTTTGCATTCAGTAAAACTGCTTCTTGGTAAGCTCTGAATTCAACACTTTGTGCTTGTTTCAATGCAACTGCTAATGCAGTGATAGTATGGTTATGAGGACCTCCTTGATGTCCTGGAAATACTGATGCATTAATAGGATCTTCAAGGTTCCACATCTCTTCTTCTTTTGTCTTTGCATTGACTCTCCTAACTCCCTTTCGGAAGAAAATCATAGCACCTCGAGGCCCTCTGAGTGATTTATGTGTAGTAGTTGTGACGACATCTGCATATTCGAAAGGACTTGGAATAACCTTTGCGGCAACGAGACCAGAAATATGTGCCATGTCAGCTAATAGATATGCTCCAACCTTGTCGGCAATTTCACGCATACGCTCATACTCAATGAGTCTACTGTACGCTGATGTACCGGCAACAATGATCTTTGGTCTGTATAATGTAGCGAGCTCCTCCAACTTAGCGTAGTCAATAAGTCCTGTGCTTTCATCTAATCGATATGGTAAAGTTTCAAAGTATTTTGAGATAGCTGAGATTTTTTTGGTAGGAGTTTGATATCCATGAGAAAGATGACCACCGTGAGGTAAATCTAATCCCATTATTCTGTCATGTGTATTGGCGAGAGCAGAGTATGCGTAAAGATTTGCGGGAGAGCCGGACAGTGCTAGATAAGTTATGAGCGAGGAACTCCCATATCAGATGTAAGACATACGTTGAACATTGACACCCCATTCTGACTCTTTCAATCCAAAAGTCTGTAGGGCACGACTTTGACACAATCTTTCGGATTCGTCGATGAACTCATTTCCTCCATAATATCTTGCCCCTGGATATCCTTCGGAATATTTATCTGCCAGAAAGTCAACATTGACTCATCCCACTATCACACTATCGAACTCCAAACGTACTTTGCATAACACTTCCCAATGCATCCAAAACAGCTTGTGATGTGAAGTTTTCGGAAGGAATAAGGTTGATAAAGTGCTTCTGCCTCCGTTTTTCCTAATCATAATGCTTTATTCAGTCTTTACGTATCATCAAACGAGGAGTCTGGCGAGGGAAATCGTACATTTTGGAGAATGCTGAAAACTGCTGGATCTGCATGTTCAAGGTTTGCTGAAAGTAGCTATCACGAATCAAATTAGCTCTTTGCTACTTGCGAATCCAATTGGCAGGTAGCAAACCTTTTGTTGACTCTCCATAGTCATTCGACTACTACTCGCCGCTCTTCTCGCGCCACATATTGAAGCTGCTGCCCTTTGCGCAGTAGTAGCCCTGAACACAGTTCTTGAAGCTCCTTTAAAGAGCGACATGATTTCCTATAATTGAGTTAGAGATTCCAATTGTTCGTGGGTAAAAAATGAAAACGTACGACTAAACTATAAGCAATTTCTTGCACCGAAAGATAGAGCTTTGTTTGTCTATATGGCACTCAAGTGATTCCCAGATCCCCGCCATCGGGAACAAGCTAACATCTTATCCGGTTGAGTATCGGAACTTAAGATATGCCGATCCCTCCCCTCAATCTTCATTTATTTCCTGATAACATGATAAAATGAAATGATGGAATGGAATGAGACGAAGAAGTGAAGGAACAGTCGCTATCATTCATGTCTTTATCACTCATGTCTTCAAAAGCTCTAAGTTCTGCTCTCAACACAGATCAAGGGTTTGACAAGGGCGGGCTCGTGTAAATTCAGTTCATGAATCATTGCACTCTCTGTTAGCATGGGAGGTAATTGCGATGTCACCATTGATATCATTCTCACATCGTTACACCAAAATCACATTCAATCATGGAGACACTTCAGAGGGGGAGGAATTCGAAATTGGTGACGTAGTTGATGGATTGCTTATCGGCATACATGTAAATTTGTACGCTGAAATAAAATAGTGGAGGATAGATACTGGCGGATCATACAATGGGAGCGAATTCAAAGACAATCTGGGGATGTGAGGGTCAGGGGCGTTGAAATGCAATTTGCGAGAACATAGAAAAAGAAAATAAATGGGAAATTGGACACAATAAACATACAACCATAATTTGAACTGAAAACTTGAGATTGTGTAGGACGAAATGAAGTCATCACCAAGGTAATCATGATATGGAGAAAAGCAGGTATCGTTTACACGTTTGAACCGTCTGATTGCAAAAAACCATTGAACACCAAAGAATCTTGAGTGAAAGATCATGATACCATTGCCCGTGCGATAATGCAGGATATCAAAAGATATCGAAAGCAACCGGCCTGTATTATAAACCTTGCCAGATACACTCCATATGCTACCACCACAAAAGCCCAACCATTTACTTTGTCTCGGTCTCCTCTGCCTCGCCGAATTGAGCTGCCTTCTTGGCTTGGTTTCTCTCTGCCTTTCTCTCGCGGGCAGCCTTGGTCTTCGCACGCTTGGCGTCCATCTCCTCCTTGAGGAGTCTTTCACGTGCCTTCTCGGCCTTAGCTCTGTGGATCTATTGTATTCTGTCAGTTTGATGATTCCAGTTAGCAAGCAGCAGCCAATATGATACTTACGTGTTCGACCAATGCACGCTTGTGCTTGAAAGTGTTACCCTTGCTCAAGTGGTAAAGCTCGTGGTAAAGGTGTTTGTCGATCTTGCCGCTGGCACGGTACTTGACCAAGAGACGTCTGAGGACTCTAAGACGACGCATCCAGACAACTTGGCTAAACAAATATTAGCCCAATATTTCTCTTCAACAATCTATCGTGTATGATGTATGTATTTCTTGATAATTTTCTCGGAGTGGCGAATGTCGTACCTTGGCATACGGGCATCTGCGGTACCCTTTCTCTTACCGAAACCACGGTGTCTACCAATTCTTCGTGCAGCGGTGAGTTCACGAGCGCGTGCGCGGGAGTGCATGGTGACTGGCTTGCGGATGATGAGGCCATCGGAAACGAGTTTGCGGATGGTTTGACGGGAGTTGGCGTTGGAGATTTCGCTGGTCTCGTTGGGGTCGAGCCAAATCTTGCGCTTTCCGCAGCCGACGACGGAAGCCGCCAGACGTTTCTGAGTTGTAAGGTTGACCCTATCGTAAGAAAAAAGAGTCAGCTTTTGATGCTTTTCGATGTTTTCAAAGTCATGTTGTTGGTGTCGCTTCAAAGAGGCTCGCAATGTATCGAATCAAACAGAAATGATCGATTGAATGAAATGAGAATATCTAGCAACAGCGTGGGCTTACATCTTGACTGAATTCGTGGTCGTCGGTGGTGGTCGTCGATATTGTCGTTTGTCGATGGCGCTCGATGTTCAAGATTCAATGCGTGGTCAAGATTTCCCTCGCTAGAGTTTCCACTAGTGACTAATCAAGAAAAATCTAGGGCTGTCCCCTACCCACAATTTGAGAAATTTGATCAAAAAGGAAAAAACTTTTGAACTTTTGAACTTTTGTGCATTTAAGAATTGTGAAAAGAATTGCGATTTGGAGTTTCGTTCAAGTTTGGAGCTACGCGAATGTTGAAAATAGGGAAGAAGTGGTTGCCTAGTTCAATTGCTCAATTGAAATTTTCTGAAGATGATCACGTGGCATATGTCAATTCATCATGGGATTAGTCATCACACTACCAATTTATTTTCGGATCCGCTGAATCGCCTAAGGGAAAGGAAGTTCAACACCAAAACCAAAACGAATACAACCATTTGAATTCGATAATCAAAGAATGCCAATATAGAAACAACCTTGACAATCAGATAGCCCTCGTGATGGTTGATACTTCGTGTTCGGCTTTTATTTTCATTTTGCCAAACGGCAAAGTCGTTTGAAAACCTTCGCTGTCAAACGAGGCGTGAAATAAAATTCATCAGCTAAATCTACTATACACAAGTAATTCAAATTGAAATTCGTATCTAATGATTTTTATTGGCAATGCAAATGCTTTTCTTATGCTAAATTTAATCATCACATCAAATCGTAGCCTCATTTCCTTATGCATCAAAAGCCTTTTCGCCCAAATCCACCTTTCCAATACTTGAGATCTCCTTTTCATCATCAACCTCATCATTAGAAAGACCCAGTCCACCCTGTCCACCTTCAGCTTCTTTCCTCTCTCGTGCTGTGTTGCCTAACCTCAATGCAACCCGCTTAAAGTAATCCTGCATGCTTCTCTTTTGATTCGGTGCCAGTTCTTGAGCAGCGATATATTTGTCAAATACCTTGCTTTCCTCTTCAACGACATTGAACAATGAGAGGAAGGCTGCTTCTGCTGCTAGCTTGATGGGGATGATAGGGTCTCGAACACCTGCAAATACAGGCGTGGCGAGTAAGGGAAGATGTGGTCGAACTGCATCTGTCTGGTGGCGACAGATTGTGCGAATTACTACAAGTGATAGACGACGAGCATCGGCCGTATTTCCTGGTTGAATCAACTTTGCTAATGATTCAAATATTGGTTTCGTCGTTTCGAATTCATGGTTGGCGGTATCAGCAAGAAGGTATTTTCCAGCGGCAAGGATACAGTTTTCTGATATGAAGTCCTGAGGAACAGTTAGTCTTTGACCTTGAAAGTTGATACGGTTTTACCTACATTTTTGCTTGCCATGCCTTGGCAAATGACTTCCGGTAAGTCATTAGCAAAGACAGTTTCCGTCAATGCGGATGGTGCTTCAGCAAGTACAGCATTCAATGCGAGAACTGTAGATGGAGTAAAGTGAGTTGTTGCCACCCGATTCTTGATTAGCCCTGAAGCGTTTTCGGGGGTTAGATTTTTGATCAATGCTGCGAGAAGCTTGGCATTAGTGATAGCCATAGAGACATCATTATCCTCCGTATCAGTATCGATCAATGCGAGTACTGCACTGCGCGAAGCCTCTCCCATATTAGCACCGGCTTTGCTAATAACTTCATATAATGCCTTGAGCATAGCATTCCTAACTCCGGAATCCGAAGTTCTTGAGCCTGTAACTAGCTCGGCGATCAAAGGATCAATTCTTGGAGTCAAAGTAATCAAAGTACCCAAAGCTTTGGCAGCACGAGTTCTAAGAACTTCACTCGATGTATCGGCCAAAGACTTGGCAAATGTACGTTGCAATTGTGGAAGGAAGGGTTTCAAGAACGTCGGGATCTTCTCCAGCAAATTGTTCAAAGTTAGAAGAATGGCAGCTTTAACGTCGACAGACTTTTCCGAAACTACACGAATAAGCGGACCAGTGATTTGAGTAACAAATGGCTTCAAAGAATCCCCACTTGTTCGGTCAACAATGTCGGATATAGCTAAGGCAGATTGTGTACGTTGTTCGGCAGTACCATTCATAAGACCATGCAAGAAAATAGGCAAGATGGCGTTGATACCCTTGGGCAATCCGAAACCAGGTAAGTTGGATCCAGGTACGCCAACGTGTTGTAAAGTCTGTCTTGTCGAATAAATAAGTGTTTCCATTTCTTCCTTCCTTAAGTGCTTGGTAAATTCGGAAAGTGCAGTCCAGGCGGCCTTGACGACTTCCGCGTCTCTATCATCGAATGAAACGAGCAAAGCGCGAACAATATCTTGGTTGTAACGAGAATAGTCAACTGTAGCTGCGGCAAAGAATTTGGAAAGGCGATAGTCCACGTTTGCTCTTCTGCGATGATCATCGTGCTTCACTAATGCAAGAAGAACATTCATAGCCACATTGAGGCCATCGAACTCGTCAATGGACTGAACAACCGTGTCAAAGGATGTCTCGAGCTCTAACTTGAGATCCTCATCCTTGGAAGAAATGATGTTATCCATCAAAGAATTCAATATAGTAGGTAATCTTCTTGCCATCGCCGGTCCTGCAACGGTTGAAAGCGAAGCAAGCGCTCTGGCATTGAATGAAGAAATAGGCGAGGTGGTGAGCGTTGGTATGAGGTTTGGAAGAATGATATTTGATCTTGTCGTTTCAGTCAACAAGGTCAGGAGTGCAGATAAGGCATTGTCAGCCTCGCTTTCTGTACGGAGTAAGCTTAAGAGATATGGCAAGACCTGGTCGACAGCCTTCTTGCCGAGAATTTGCTGTAGCGAATCGAAGGCTTCGGCTGCTGCTTCTCGGACTTCGTCATCCGAGTCTATCAAAGCGACTCTGACAACAGAGATCAATGTCTTCTCATGGTCTTCCAAAGCTTCTGGGGATGCTGATGAAATCAATTCACGAAGTGCAATACATATTCCTTGCTTAGCATCTGTATCTGTGGAATTTTGCAAACCATCCTCCAAGGTGGGCAATAGGGTTGAGAGAACTCCATCACCTGCCTTGCGAATCAATTCACCAAGTGCATTACCTGCAATAACCTTTTGCTCCATGTTGGAGCTTCCCAATCGTCGAATAATGAGTTGAGTGAGCGTAGGAATAAGCTCCTTAAGCGTTCTGGGACTCGCGACAAGAGCTTTCCAAACATTGACAGCGGCTGTTCGAACCAAGCCAGAAGTATCGCATCGGCAAATGTACAACGAGGACAATACCTTGTTGCGCTTCTCCTCACCAAGTACCTCGAGTAACGATGCACCAGCTTCTTGCGCACCTTCTTCGACCTCATCCTGTTCTGTATTTGCACTAATACCAGTAAGGTTGAACAACAGATCACCAACCAACTCGACAGAACTGAGACGAATCCTGTAATTGTCGTCTGCTAGACCTCGCTCCAATTCTGGAAGCAAAAGATCAATAGCTCTCGTGGCGAAATTCTTGACAAGAAGACGACCAGCTCTCAAAGACGTGTCACGAATTGATTCAACATCGTCCGCCAGACCAGAGAGAATCGGTGGAATAATCTTACTAAGGTAGTTGGCAAAACTGTTTCCGAAACATACGGGCAAGAATATGAAGAGCGACATGAAGCCTTCCCGAACGGAAGGTTTGGATGAGGCAACATTTTGAAGAATTGTTGGAAGAGTATCCTCGAGGCGGTTTGTACCCAATCCAGCAAGAACTTCACTGAGTGCCTGTGCAGATCCCAGTCGGTCACCGGCTCCAGTATCTGATTTGAGTGTTTGCATGAGACCTGGAATAAGATCCGGAAGAGCATCTTCTCCCAATTTCTCGATGAGAGAACCCAGAGCTTTGGATGCAGTTGCACGAGTAGTTGGTACGGGATCAACAATTGCAATCTTCAAACCAGCGACTAAGATTGGGAGATGTGATACGAGATCCTTTCTCTCTGTTAAATGAGCAAGACTGCCAATAACCTGGGCAGACTTTCGTTTGGTTGCCGATCTATCACCCAAACCTCTCTCAAGAATACGAACAACGAGAGCAAGGGAAGGTGCGTCAAGATAATGGACGAAAGACACCTTGATGAGTGAGTCCAATGCATTGTCCGTGTACTTAGTAGGATCACTGAGAGCTTTGAGAAGGACATCGACAAGGCTCTTGATCTCGGGGTTGTTGATAACTTCTCCGAAGCGCTTCAAACTGCGATTAGCAGCAAGACGGACCTCTTTGTGACTGTCATTCAATACACCCGTCAAGGGTGGAATGATCTCTGGAAGACTCTGGGCAAGTTGTTGTGGATCAAGATATGCCATTGCACCTAGGAGATCACAAGCACCCTTTTTACTTCGCCATTGGTCGTCATCAAGACCATCAAGCAATGTTGGCAAAATTTGTTTCACCCCATAAGAGCTCAAGCTTGCAAAGCACACTTTTGCTGCTGCCAAACAACCTTCACGAACATCTGCGCTTGAGTCACCGAAGCTCGAGAGCAATTGAGGCACAATTTGAATAACATAAGGCTCAAATATGCGACCGAGAATCATGGAGAGAAGTTCATAAGCTAACAGAGCTCCTTCTCGGTGATTGACATCCTTTTTGTTGTCGATCGCACCTTTCAGTGTAAGCATGATTCTGTATTCTCGCAAAGCGGAGATTCCTTTTCCATTGACAAGACCTGCAAGACCGTATGCTGCACCACGTCGACCGGCATATTTCTTCGAGTTAAACAGTCTGTCGAGAACCAATTGGATGTAGTCCAAAGTGTTCTCCTTGGATGCACGAACGAGTGGTGGCAGGCACTCAGCCACGGCATACTGAACAGTCTCAGATGGGGTGCTTAATGTTTCTAGAAGCCTGTCTACAACCTTTGGTACACGTTCATCGCCGGCTTTCAGATGTTGTGCTAGGGCACCATACATGATGATGACAGCCTCGTTTACTCTATCGGAAAACTCAGAACCTTTGTCCGGTGTCTCAAGTGTGCGTTCAAAAGTTTTCATCAATTCTTCCACTTTGTCTTTTCCATGAATAGCTATAATAGCTGTGGCAGACTCAACCATTTCTTCTCTGACAATTGAGTTTCTGTCACCAAGTGGCCCTTCAATTAAGAAGTTGAGGAATGGAGTGAGGAGCGATTCGTCAAAAACTGTAGCCAATTCTCTAAATGCAAGTGCGATTCCATTTCGGGCTTCCCATGGGTCCGACAGATCCATCTTCCTCGGCATAC